CCTCTCTGGTAATTACCTTTTCAAAATTATTCTAATGAATTCAGGGAGGTGTTTCCGCTTTTGGTTATGATGATTGATAAATCCTGTCTTATATTAGCTTGTCGTTTGGCTGATTCTGTACCTCAATTACAAATAGTATTTTACAATAGCAACAATAGAATTTTAAAATTACATTTATTCTTAAAGCCTAACAATGTAACTGAGAAATAAAAAAATAAAATAAAATAAAATATTAAAAAAACACTTTCATCCATAAAGCACTTCCAAATCATTCAATGTATACATATATATATTAAAATATTTAAAATTGTTTATCAGCTGTTTTTAAGTATTAACATTTTTATCTTGTCTTATAGATTGAATCAACTATAGATAGTTTGTTTAGAGATAGGGAAATTACATCTCAAATCCATCGAAAGGTGATACCGACCCCCACTTCCTTCCCCCTTGTAATTACCAGCCGCCAAAATAATCGAGGAAAATGGGGAAAGGTGACTTCGTGCGATTTTCGCGACTGACATCCCAAGCGGTCTATTGTCCAACTGGACGGGAGTCAATAAAAATTATTTCGCGAAAGTTGTCGCACAATATGGCCGTGCAGTGTGTTTACTTCATTTTCATTAAGTTGTATTTTTAAGTTTTATTTTCTCCGACTTTTTATTAGATTGTAATGTTTAGTGCTGCCGTTGCTGCAGTGCCGCGAGTTGCCAGTCGCCACATTTCGCGGCCATAATTCAACTAATTAAATGCACATGAAAAATTCAGCACTCGAAAAGGCAAACTTGACAAATGGTACCAAGTTTTGAGCAGCGGGGAGGGGCTGCGAAATGCCAAGCCAAAAACTTAGGATGAAACTCACTGAGAAATGTTTCAATTTGAAATGCACGACGAATTACTGAATTTTTCAACAGGTGAAAGAGTTTGGAGATTGGAAATAGTTTGAATTAGTCATGGAAAAAATGAACTGCCGATAGTTGGGAGTTCACATAGGCCACGTTATGTAATATTTATGTATCTTTAATTATAAATTATTTTTTCATGATTAACTTTTTATATTTCTTGACAACAACTATGAAAAAATCACCCCAAGTGTCACTTAATTGTCTCGAGAAATCACTATAGGCAACTTTCAACTTGAATTTCTTTTAACTGCGGGCCAAGATTGCCCAAATATTTATAGCCTTACTTAATCCCCAACCAATTACCCGATTATTGTTAAATCTCTGGATCTTTGCTGGGCCACTTAATGGAATTAACCAGATTAGCCATGGCTTGGATCATATGTTTTCGATGCTTGTTAATGGCGGCCAAAGCCGTCGATTCGAGAAATGATTTTCCCAATCAATTAGCTCTGACCTCCAGCTGCCCTTCGGACCTGCACTCGCCGCGGGAGGTTTTCCTTTTCCCTTTCTTTCTCCCCCGAACTCATTGATCATTGGCTATCGATTGGCCGCGATCGCCGACACGATATTGCCCTAGGTTTTTGGCTACCGTTCCGACTGGCCACTACCAAAGATCCAAAACAAAACGAAATAAAAAACCCAAACAAAACCCAAAACAACTCAGCTAACACCAGGCAACTTACAACTTGGGCGCAACTTTCACTAATTTTCAATGCGAGCAAACTTGATTGGTAAATTGCGGCAGCAGGACGCACTTCGTTTAATATTTCTCACCCATTCTCAGTCCCACCTGAATTTGATTTCCACCTCGCCCAATGCCCAATCAATTGGACACTTTTCCACTTTATTTTCCACACTAATTGGAATGGACACGCGGGATTTCAGCATTCTTCCCGTTTGGTGGGTCCAATTTTAATACTCTTTATGGGGGTTAATTGAAAACTATTTAAATTAATATTTTAAACTAAGTAATCTATTAAATAAATTACATTCCTTTCCATTTTAAATTAAAATGTGTACTTAATAATTAATTAAACTGTTTATAAAATAGGCATTTAAATGTTATACAATTTTTCATAAGCTTATGTTACCTGGAAATTAGTAGTTGATTTGTTTTTGTTGTAAAATAATAAGAAATTTGAACTCCAAAAAATGTATAATGTCATAGGGTAATTTATTCTCAATTTGTTGTACAAATATTCATGTTTATTAAATTTATATATCTTTTTCTGAACAAATAACTGAAACACAAGTAATTTCAAACCTGTATACAGCAATTTTTTTAATAAGAACAAAAAAATAACCTTTTATAAAACACAAAACCCCTTTGAGAAAGAATGGGTAATTAAAATTTTGCATATACTGAAAACTTGGACTTCCAACTTCCTTTCTTGACTTCCGAGCACTCACAATTTTATCGCTTTATTATGACACGCAAATGGCAAAATTAGTAAAAACATTTGAAAAGGGGGAGCTGGGATTGGTCGGCTGCTGCTATAATTATAATATAAAATGCGCCCATAATAGACTTGTTTTTCGCCCCTGGCCAATTTGCAATGTTGGCCAAATCCTTTGGCGTTTTATTTTCATTTAATTACTGCTAGTGCCGCCATCGTAGCTGCTGCTGCATTAATTGGCTTGTTTTGCTTAATAATGATTATTGGTTTTTATGACTCTTTGATTATGCGATGATGCATCGAAAAAAGCAAGTCGGCGAGGTAGGTTCGCTCCAAGCGGGAAAGTCTCGGCAGCGGCATCATTTTTTTTATATTTTTTCCACCGGCTCTTTGGCAAGGTGTTGAGCATTTTGTTGGAGTTGATGGCCTGTCAGTCAGTCAGGCAACTCAACTGCCGGACAGACATTGTCGGTCTGTTTTAAAACGCCGGACCGTTTCTATATCTGCTTATGCTGGTAGAGGTGCTGCTGCTGTCTTAATTATGTAATGTGCGCTTTTGAAGACAATTTAAATGGCCGCCAGTTGTGGAAAACAAACACGAACTTCGGTGGCCCAGAAATGCCAGGAATACGAGGAAAAGCCATGCTTAAGTCGACTGTTCCGATGCTCTTGGGGGTGTTTACAAGCGGACAATATTAACTTATTGGATTGGTTTTAAATATTAACTGGGTTAAATTATGAACAGGTCGTTTATGAATCTTATTAAATTGATAGTTACCAAACTTATGGTTTAAAATGGGTACAAAAATTTAATGTTTAATTTAAAAAAAAAATATATATGTTTTTAACGGCTTGGACTGTAGATGTTTTAATATTACAAAAAATTAAACGGAGTATTCTGGGTATGTAAATCATACATGGTATGAGGGTTTTCAAAAAAAATAAATTCTTAGCTTTTATATAAATGAATATGTCAAAATAAGGAGGAAAAATTGATTCTAAGACATTTGCTTATGTTTTCATTAAAAAAATTATAAATCTGTATTTTATTTTAAAATGAAAATCATCAGATTTTTAATGAAAAATGTGATGTAGGTTGTCAGAAATCTTTACTCCTTCCTTAATATTTAGTAAAGAATAGAACGGATAATAATATTGTATGGACCGTGAGTCTCGCTATACCTTGCCCTAAAATTGAGGGTATTCCGCATAATTATATGCACTTGATCGGCGGAGAGCGTGTGAGCGAGATGGAGCGGACAAATGTGCAACTGAAGTGGACAGCCAAGTGACGCAATGCAGACTCATCGATGGAGCTGGAAAAACCGTTGCAGCGGCCCAACCTGCCAGTTGCTCCTGGTTGAAGCTCTTGACCCCGTTTAACGCGGCATGGCCGCAAATGAAAAGCCAAAAAACCAAAAAACCGAAAAAGGCCAAATCTCGAAACGCTTCAGAAACTCTAGACGCCCCCGAAACTTGCATTGCATTTTAATTGCTCTGTGATTAAGCGGCAATTACATAAAATTAAAAACAAACGTTGATTTCGAACTAAATGATTACGGCAGAGGCAGTCCAAAAATAAAAGAAGACTAGAGCAAAAGAAGAAAGTAAAAAGTAAAAAGAGCGAAGAAAGCTGGAGAAGAAACGCAAAAAAAAACGATTAGTTACATTCGCTCAACAAAATGTTGGATAATTGCTTATAATTATGATAATTCAACTAAATACCTGCGCGGGCGGTTGCATCAGCCCAATTTGCACCACTAACCCACCGAGCAACCACCGCACCACATTAGCACGCAACTTGCTCCACACTTGGCTGGTTAATTTATGTCATGATTCCGCACATAAATTCCAAAGGAATTTTCCTATAAATTACAGGGGCTTTTCCCTGTCGCCCTGCGTTTTGCTCTTTTAGTGTGTGTTTTTAGTTAGCAAAGATGTCAGCGATTTCGTTTTCTTTTTTTTTTTTTTTATTTCAGCTTCTTCGGTTGTGTGTTTTTCTTATTTTTTTCTAATTTTCCTGCAACATCATTACGAAATGAGTATTTTTTCTTTGGTCTTGTTTTTCTTTCTCCCCGTTGCACATGGGATTTTCCCCAGCTCCCCCCGTGGCAAATCGGGGAGCCAAAGATCCCAGTGACATTTCCCCATGCAAGGAGGCCTCTTGAAAAAAATACTTTTTGGCATGCGCTGACACGAAGAAAACATTAAACATTCCTTCGGTCTGAGATGAAATTGTGAGGGGCGGAGGGGCAAAAGGTGGGCCACCGCCGGGCTGCATCAATAAATTTAGCTCATAACGCTGAGTGACAGTAATGTGTCATCAGCGGGTGGAAATAGTTTCTAACGAAGTGGGAGTTTTTGTTTTGTGGGCGTGTATTTCCATCGAATGAGAAATGAGTTTTTCTTGCCGCAGAGGTGGCGGATCCATTTGATCTGATTTACACGGACTTTACGATGCATATATAGCGGCTAACCGCGCAGATTCATTCGGAGTAAATATTTATTAAGGCGGAGGTGTCAATCAATTGGTTAAGTCTTGTGGCTTAATAAACAATTTTTAACTTCAAAATAAAATCTAAATTATTATATCTAAATTAGGGAACATTTTTTTTTAATATTTTGAAACGATTCTAACTAAGATCAATATTTTTAGAACAATTCTAGTATTATTTAAACATTTAAAATTCTTTTTTTTCAGATTGCAAATTACAAATGTTGTTAAATTTACCCAAGATATTTGCTATTTACAAAATAAAGGAGATACCTACATAAATCTAACTGTAAGTATGAAATTATTTAGGAATTAACAGTTTGAGTTGGATTTTCTCTCTGCTTTTTCCGTATATTCTTTAAGTTATTTGGATATCATATCTTAAAGATAAATATTATTGAAACTTAAAGATATTGAAAAATCCTGAGTGTTTTTTTTATTTTAATAGCTATCATAAATATGCCTCGCTTTCTTGATATACTGCTTTTCAATATATTATATAATAACCAATCCCCAACCATTCTTAAGCAAATTTCAAGTACATTTTTCAGATACTTAAATAAATGATTTTTAATTTCGTCTTTTTATAGTCGTAACTTAGGATCTCCCTGGTTCACTTGTCAGAGCTGTCCGCCAACTAATGAAATCATCAACCTGTGGCCACACAATCCATCAAATTTAAGTCCAGAAAGAGACAGGGGCCAAAGTGTTAAACAATTTTCCGCACACACAAAACGCAGTCCCCAGTCGAGATGCAAATGAAGTTTTCGACTTATGCCGAGTCTCGTTTTTGAAGTTTTTCGTTAGCAGCCGCCTGAGAGTATGGGTTTCGCTCGTGTGCATAATTTAAAATAATGACGGCACATGAAACTTAATGCGTCTGCCCCGAAAGAGATCGATCAGGTGGCAGGTTGTGCCGCAGGTGGATCAAATTGAACCCAAAGCTTTGGCCGATGATGCTTGATGGCTGGCTGATGGTCACAAAAAGAAAACAAGCAAACACGCATCTTTTTGGTCACGCATCAAAGGTGTAACAGGTGTCACTCTCACTTTTTCGGCGTGAAATGTGCTCCCCCGGTGTTAGCCTACATACATAACAAATAGCTAACCTAACGAACGGCCAAAAACACACGCAATTATCGCATCCTTGCCGTATCTGTGATTTGTGATCTGTGATCGCTGATCGCTACTCTGCCACTGTCTCCTTCTTTTTTATGCATTTTTGTCACTTTCCTTTTGCAATGCAAATTTCTCGTGCCGACTATTAATTGCTAATGGCAGTCGACAACCAAAAAACAAAAATAGTAAAGGAGAAATAACCGTTAAGACCAACGCCAAGAAAAAACCAGCCATAAAAATCGTCAACCAAATGCGGCAACCTGGCTTTAATGCCCCTCATCGCCTCCTGTCACCTGAATTTTCATCCAGCTACCCACGATCGCTGCTCATTTACAGTAGGCAGCTACTGCGGCTTATATGCAGATTTTGAGAAAAGTTTCTCTGGTGGAAAATATCGTCTGGGCCTGCAAATCCTGTTTTAGGATTTTTATTAGCCAAGGCATTATGCGCGGCTGAATTTATGAATATTTATGGTCCTTAAAATTTAATGCGTTGATCGCTAATCACACAAATGACTTTTTGTGCTTATAAAGACATTCAAATGGATTTGACACAATTTTTAATTGTATTGCTTAAGTTCGTTCAAAAGAGAATGTTTGTGTTCTTTTTTGTTAGCGTTTTGAAGATATAAATTATTTAAGTTTTATCCAAAATTAATCTACAGTGAATATTTCTGTTAATTTTATCCATTTTTTATTGAATGTTTTTTATGACCAAACTTTCGAATTAGACCTAGGTATTTTTTCTCAATCCTAATAAAAGGACTTCGTTCGGCACTTATCTATTTAAAATTAAAAAAAAAAAGTGAATTAATTTCAATTAAATCGGGTATTAAACAAATTAAAATGCTTATAAATCTGTTTATTGTTCCCCTAATTTTCAATAGCTTACTCAAAAATGTTCAACGAATTCCTCTACCGTAAATGATACGCCATCTGAAGTGGGGTCCAAACACCTTGGCAATTTGGTCCTGGGGCAACCAAAATAAAACTTTCTTTGCATAGCCTGGCTGTCCCCCCTTCTGACTTTATTCCACCAACCCTAGTGTGGCTATAACTCCCTCTTTTCGGGCTTATCGACGATCTTTAGACGTTGGCACGTTTCGTTCATTGCCTTGGCTTTAGTTGTTGTTACTGTTGTTGTTGCTGTTGACGTGTTGCCAAATGGCCATATTCAAGCTTTTATTGTGGCTCGTATTAGATTGCCATGGCCAATGCATAAATCTGTTATTGAACGCGAGCCCGAATTGGAATCGGAATCCGATCAAGAGCGTTTCCAAGAAAGCCAGTGGAAGGCCAAGAGAGAGATATTTGGCCGGAGGCAAGCGATTCGTTTATATCCATTCTTAATCACAAATATGTAGAATAATTTGAATAGGAATTTGAATTTATTCAAGGGTCTCTAAAACCTTTTTTTTGCATTTAAAAAAGAGTAACATCGGTTCTTACATACTTAAAAATATTTATTGGGTATATTTTTATTCATGCCTAAATTTTCCTAATATTTCTGATGGCTTATTATGATACAATTTTAAAAAGAATATAATTTTGTTAAAAGTCCCACAAATATAGTAATCCATTGTCAATCATTAGTTGCTCTCTCTGTAATATATTTCGACCATTTAACAAGATTCTTATAAAGTAAGAACCATCACAAAAAGCCGACTAATGGAGATTGCCCACCAAAGTCTAGTGTATGTGCTAAAATGTACTCACTTACATATTTTATATTCGCTTAGCTAAAAGTGGAAAGTTTTAGCCTGCGGTGAGTCACTAAGCTTCAATAAGACACGGTCCAGCGCTTAAAAGTCAACAGCATAAATTCAGGCATGAAAGCGATCTCCTATCGCTGTTCTCCCTCTCGTTCTAATAAGCCAAACAATAAATCATCATCGGGGCTTATATTTTTAGCAGATTTCTTTGCCAAAACTCTGCTGACTCACGATCCCCAAAGAGCTCCAGGGCCCAGGTCCATATGTACCTTAGGTTCCCATTCCCAGAGTGGAACGGCGCTTCGCTTTGAGACTTCTCCGCGTCCCATTCTCCCCGTATTTCTTGGCTTTCCTGTTGTTCTTCTCAAAACTAACAAATTCTGGCATGGTCCAAAAAAAAAGGGGGAGGGGGGTGGCAAGTCTAAAAAACTGGCTTGGGCACATTGCTGGACATCACGCAAGAAGGAACCGAATCGCTGCAGAATCGGTGGCATCGGAATCGGAGGAAGGAGAAAGTCTCCACGAAGGGCGTCCAGGAATCTCCAAATCTGATTCCAAGTGCACTCAGAAAAAAGTATCTAAAAATGTTATTGGTGCTCGATTCCATAGCAAAAGAGAAATTATGTATAATTAAAATACAAATATTTTACATTCCCTTATAATGATTGATAAAATGTTTAGACATTCATTACATTATGAATTTATTTTACCAACCTAATCAAGACTTAATTTAAGATTCTTTTCACCTAGAAAAAGTTCCAACCTAAGATCTATTTTGTATATTTCACAATTGTATATTAGAAGTCTCGGAGCCAAAGAATAAACTATATTTTTGAAGTGTGCCCTTCGGCCAGCTGCCAAGCATCCAAGACACACGAAATTCGGTTTTTCAAGTAGCCCAACAACGAAATTTGTTATATGACTTACATTAGTGGGTGCATGCTGTTGCCTCCCCATCTCCCCTTTAACCCCCTTTCTACCCGATTTTGCGTTTTTTATTTCGCCAGCATTGTTTGGCAAACGGGCAGCCACATTTGCAGCAGCAGAATTGACATTTCCTTTTACAACATCCAACAAGCTCTGCAAAATGAAAACGATAAATCAGCAACAACAGCGGCGAGCGTTCCATGTGATTGTCACGCTTGAAGGACTTTTCTCGTGGAAAGCGCCAACAAAAACTTAAAACAAAAATCACAACAAAGGCGAAAATGAATTTGTTGCTTTTCTTGTTGGCCACTGCTGTTAACAGCATTTGTTGCAGTTGCTTTTTATGAACTAGGTTACTATGTTTGTTGAGTAATTGAGTTTGGTTTTTTCGCACACACGAATGTGTCCATTGTTGTTTGTTTTTATTGTCGATTAGGAAGCTGCCACACATGCAACTCAGTCTTTTTTTTTCTTGGCAGGAAGTAAGATTTGGGGGCGGTGGGGGTTTTGTTGGATATCTGTGAGTTACGCTGCCAAATAGCTTCAACCTTATAAGTCAATATCCTTTACGGAAATAATTTATTTCATTTGTTTTTAGTTTAATTAGGCGATTATATAAATATGCGCATTATACAAAGATAATGAACGTACATTTGCCAGCAAAGTCAACATCACGTATGCGCAATCTTTTTTTTTTATCCAAATTGCGGACACCAAACCTGAATTAGTTAGTAATGTTATATTTAAATAAACAAATTAGCTTTATTAAATGTTAAATTATTTCCTCTCCATTTTAAGCTATGCATTTTATGTGTTCATTTAGATTATAAATTATTATATTCGCTTAATAGCATATTAGTCTTTATGTAAATCCAGTTTGCAAGATGCTGGAAAAGATATATGTATGTATATTTATTACTAAACCTAATTTTGAAACTAACTAAAATAAATCAATAGCTTAACCCGTCGTATGCTTCCTAGTCCACTTTGCACATCGTTTTATTTTTATATTTTCGTTATTTCCACTCCTTGCAGCCTTCTCTTCAGTCACGTTCCAGCTTCTCGTTTTATTCGTCACTATCCCCGACCCCTCCGCTCTCTTTCACTGTCTGTTTTGTGATCTAATTACTGTATTTGCTGTCCGTTTTGACTGCTGCCTCCTGCTCTTTCCGGCCACCCCCTCGCCTTTGAAAAGCCTGTTTAAATTCGTCGTGCTCTGCTACTTACTCCTTCCCTCTCCATCACCTTTTGCTCCTCATCATCATCATCATCCTAACTAACCAGCTCCTGTCTATTGCTCTCTTTTGGGTTTTGTGTATCAATTTGGCGCATTTGCTTTTAGTTTGAAATGAACACAAAATCATTGATTACGAGTTTACACTCTAGTGACGAAAGTTCCTTTCTTAAAAATACCACTTAAGTATTAAACGAATCAAAAAAAGAATTCACTATTTGTTCTAAGCTCTTCTTAGAGACATTTTACTCCCCTACGGGTTTTGTTATAAAAAATCTCTTCTATCCAAATACTTTAT